GTAACAAAAATAATAATGTGCCAATAATGCTGATGCCTGCCACATACCCGTGACCGCCTCATCCACCACTTAAACATTTTTTTTCTCATATTTTCGTCGTATCAAGTAAAGTAAGGGAGAAAAGTCTTTTATTACAAATTTTGATACCGTTCTACCATACAGTTGCTAATGGGTTGGCAAGGTTTTGAGTGACAGCATGATACTGTGTACGTAACAACTTCTTTGCTCTTTCAGATGTCACATCCCCTATCCATTCACTAAGGTGACACAAAAAGATGGGTTGGTTTAGTGACGTTATGCCAAGTATGAAATCACAGGACATGCCATACCTGTATAAAGCTCGAACAGCTTCGTTGTCTTCAGGGCGAATGCCTTCTATGCTACGATAGATATTTTCTACGTGCGATATCCAGTCCTTGGCGCTCACATTTGTGTCTCCACTGTCTGTCATGGGTAATTGACCACCGCCGTTGATACATCCGCCAGGACATGCCATAACCTCTACAAAATGATATGTACACTTGTTGTTCTTGATCTTTCGTACAACATTTTGAATATTACGGAATCCATAAGCGGATGCAAACCGTAGCACTGCTTTGCCATCATCGGACTTGAGGGTATACTCTGTAAAATCGACATTCTTTGCAGTTTGCACTTGAACATTGGATGATATATCATTCACACCAAACAATTCTCGTGCTGCATATGCCAGGATGTATTCCAGATACCCTCCTGATGACGAGCCCGACGATCCATAAAGCGTTGGTTGCAGTGTAGTCGGTGACTGGCTAACCTTGTTGAATCTAGTAGTATCGGCTGTCAGTTAAACAGTAATGATTATCACATGCTCATATTACTGGTACTTACAATTCATCCAATGGCGCTTCCGGTAAACTAGGGAAGTCTACGTTTTGTTCGGAAAACATTTTATCAACCTCGATAGTGGTCAATACACAATCAACGTCCCGCGTCTGATATTGTTCATCGAAGAAATCTGGTCGACTAGCCTCCAGTTTCTTGTCATAGCATGGCATTACGGATATGTGGTAAAGTTGATTTGGTCTGATAAGGTGGATTTAGCCATAAGATGAAAGTTACCCTCATGCATTTTGCTTCATGTACTCACCTAAGGCCGAGTTGATTAGCAAAAAAATCCTTTACCACTGAACCCATAATTTGTTGTGGCGACTTCGAGGCACTTATGTGTGGCAAAATAAAACCATGCGTCTTCTCAGCATAGCAAATCCATCCAGGACAGGCTGATGCAAGCATCGGCATATCTTGTGAGGTAGGAGCAGAAGTTGCATCTCCATCAGTGCCTCTTCCTCTCCTTCGTCTTTGCTTAACTTTTCCAGCACCTGCTTCTTCCCCTTGTTCCTTCTCTTCTTGTTCTTGTCGTGCTGCTTCAATCTGCTGACCACCATTTGCCATATAATTGCGGTAGCGATCTACAAACTCTCGTGCAGATTCCACAAGTGAAAAGTCCCGTGAAAATGATGTGTCGAAAAAGTAATGAGCTCCCAATGTGTGCTTGAAAAATTGTGTCAATTTTCGGTGGGCCTGCATTGGGGATATTCCATACTTCGCAGCAATGGATGCTCGAGATTGAGGGCTCATGGAAATGACAACAGTGATAATGTCGTCCAACCTGCCAGACTCTTGGGCTTCTGCATTGGATTTCAATATTTTGTACAATTCCTCTTGCGATTGCATTGAAATAAGTACACTCTCAGCTGATGTAATACAGCCACTGTTAAAGCCGAGATTAATCATCAGGCACAGGTTTTACAATGATAATGAAACTAAACGTTTGCTATAAAGCTATACCTGCAAGCTAGACAGTCATTCAAAGAAATGCTAGCGGATTCTAACTTCTCTTCTGTACCATCCATTGAGACTTCATAATAAGTACCAGCTTCGTTAACTTTGATCGAAGTCTGAATTAAGGAATGTTAGTGTCGTGAGCAGCGTAGTCGCAATTTTACTTCCATTCTTTTACCTCTTCAGCGTTTTCCTTCTTTTGTACCTCCACCGGCTTTATACATGCTTGGGAAGGGGAAATATAGTCATTTAAGTCTGTCAGAACTAGTGCCGAAGAGAATGCCATAATTACAATGTAGATCTGAGATTTGTCAGATCGGGCCCAGCTTTCAAAGTAGAGGTAGTCCGATGACAGTCACAAAACCCAACTTGCAAATCCATCTCCGCAAGATGGTATCGGATTATGAGAGAAACGTGGGCTGGTCGGTCAATAAGGCTGAAGATCATCCCAATCTGCTCCTAACTAGCTCTACAAACGTTATAATGCTCCATAAATTTGAACGAATTATTTGGTGAGCTCTATTGAAAATATTATCTCGCTAAAATATGCAGTATAGTGCATTTTGGTCACAACAGAGCTTTATCATGCCGGATCCGTGACATCATTCGTTTTCCTGCTGGCCCCAATTTTTTGGAACCGTAATTTTTTTTTTAAAGCATCCGACAAAAGCTGTTTCGATCCTTTGTTCTTCTTTATTTCTCTTTAACTAACACAAAATGCCTGGAGGTGGACAAAACCCAAAGACTAAGCAACAGGCCAAGGAAAAGGTCTGTCTCATCTGTATTGACGGTTGGGGTGTTTCCGTTGACGAAAACCCCAAGGGTGATGCTATCCGCAACGCCAAAACTCCCGTCATGGATAACTTTGAGAAGACATATCCTTACACTGACATCGCCGCTCACGGTCTCAGCGTCGGTCTTCCTGATGGTTTGATGGGTAACTCTGAAGTCGGTCATTTGAACATCGGTGCTGGTCGTGTTGTCTACCAGGTAAGTCCTTTGGACGCGTTATGCTATGAGTTGTGAGCGGTGGTACTTATCCCTGCTTTGTTATGAACACAGGATATTGTTCGTATCGATTTGGCTGTCAAGAACAAGGCTTTCGGTAAGACTGAGAATATCAAGAAGTGCTTTGAACGTGCTAAGGCAAACAACGGCCGTCTGCACTTGATGGGCTTGGTCTCCGATGGTGGTGTTCATGCACACATCAACCACCTTATCCACTTGTTGGAATGCGCCAAGGAAGCTGGTGTTCCCGAGACCTACATCCACTTCTTTGGTGATGGTCGTGATACTTCACCCAAGTCTGCCACCAAGTATCTCAAGACACTTCTCGATGAGATCAAGACGCTCAACTATGGTACTCTTGCTACCATTGTTGGTAGATACTACGCCATGGACCGTGACAAGCGTTGGGAACGTGTCCAGATCGCCTTCGACGGTCTCACCCAGGGTAAGGGCGAGAAGGCTGATGACGCTATCAAGGCTGTCGAAGCTCGTTACGAGCAAGGAGAGACCGATGAATTCTTGAAGCCCATCATTTTGTCTGAGGAAGGTCGCATCAAGGATGATGACACCATCTTCTTCTTCAACTTCCGTTCTGATCGTGCTCGTGAGTTGTCTCAAGCCTTTGGAATCTCTCCTCCTCCTTTCGACTCTCCCGTTCCCAAGAACTTGGAGCTCACCACCATGACCCAATACAAGAGCGACTTCCCCTTCCCTATCGCTTTCCCCGCCCAGACTATGGACAATGTTTTGGCTGAGTGGCTTGCCAAGAACGACCTCAAGCAAATGCACGTTGCTGAAACCGAGAAGTATGCTCACGTTACTTTCTTCTTCAACGGTGGTACTGAGGCTCAATTCCCTGGAGAAGAGCGTTCTATGGTTCCTTCCCCTAAGGTTGCAACTTACGATCTCAAGCCTGAGATGTCTGCTCAGGGTGTCGCTGATGATGTTGCTCAGCAGTTGGCTAAGCAGGAGTATGACTGCGTCATCCTCAACTTTGCTCCTCCCGATATGGTTGGCCACACCGGTAAATACGATCCCGCTGTCCATGCTATTGAAGCTACTGATGCCGCCATTGGTACCGTCTATGAAGCCTGCAAGAAGAACAACTACATCCTTTTTGTCACTGCCGATCACGGTAACGCTGAGAAGATGCTTTCTGACGACTTCTCAACTCCCCACACTGCTCACACTTGCTCTCCCGTTCCTTTCATCATGGCCTCCAACAAGTACAAGTTCATTGAAAAGCCTGAAGGATGCTTGGCTGATGTCGCTCCCACCGTTTTGCGCGTCATGGGTATCGATGTTCCCGAGGAGATGACTGGCAACAGTTTGTTGAAGGAGTAAATCACTTGTGTGAAGAGGTGTCGCAAGAGTGCGAAGTAGCTAACCTTATTGTACAGAAAAACGAAAGAGTAGAAAGAAAGAGAGATAGATCATAGAAGTGGTGATCAAGCTGTATAATTGAGTACATTTATATATGAATGTAATTGAAAACTTTAAATACTGTTGGTTTTGTTGTGGCGGTGCTATGATGTTGACAATTAATTTGGAGCAGTGCAAGCGAATATGGTGATCGAGAGTTAGAGTTGACCGCGAAATAGCCATGCCTGGTAAGTTGAGGGAAAATCATGCTTTACATATATTTTCAAATTTTTAAATAGTTACAGCCATAGGAAACATCATTGCACAAGCGCCATCAACTACATCATGAAATTAGTAAACTTTGCATTTGTTTGGTCTTCATGAAAATCCCTATGTATGCTTAAGGGATCTCGTGGCAATGTCGGTAATGGCTTGAACAGAACAGATTTGATGTAACACAATACAAGAAACATCTTCCACCTTTAAATAGCAATAGTATATTGAAAAGAAAAGAAAGAACTGCTCTGTTCAATACATCTCATGGAAATCCAAGAAATGAAGATGTGTAGGCATTGAAATAGCCCATTGTACCCTGAACTTGACCTTAACTGCTTACATTCTGCACAGCTCTTCTATAATTTTTATCTTAAAGCAAACAATTTATTTTTAAGAAAACTTTTGACGGTATGAAAGCCTTCAAAGCCTGTAGAATATACTAAGAAGTGAAGAAAGAGCGGTCATTGTTAATATTCGATACGTTTGGCTTTGTAAGGGAATGATTTGACTATACAAAAATCAACCCCGACTTTGGGGACATGGTGTAGTGGTATCACGTCTCGTTCGCAACGAGTAGGTCGCGAGTTCGAACCTCGCTGTTTCCAAATTTTTTATTGGATGATATTTATAATACCGTTCTGTGATTGGATACTGTCGCTTTTAAGAATAGCTTTCATTGGGTAATTTTTTTGGTGCCGTTGTGTTAAAATGGTGGTTGAATATTGGCATGGAAAAATCAGTAACCATGACCACAGCGTGGCACTGAAAGATGTCTTTTGTTTCCTGTTTTCATATCTGTATTACATTCTTCTTTTCCACATCGGCTGCCGTAAATGTTTTCGTCGCCATTCTTTCACCTAGTTCATACGAGTCACGCAAGCGCAAAAGTGAGACAACAATCGGTCGGAACCTTTGCACTCTGCTCCCTACGCTAGGTGCATTAGCATAGCTGCTATCAAAGCAGGAAGGAAATCATGCGGAATTCATATGCCTACAACCAATGCCCGGTATCATTCAGAATCACTTCTTCAGTCTAACGTTTATTGAGCAATTTTTGAGTTTATGTAATTTTAGGCTTACAACTTGGCCAAAACAGCTTCGGCACCAGAGACAGTAGTACCGGGAGCAGGTTCAACACCAACATACTCAACAACAAGATCATTAACAACAATGGCAAATCGCTTAGAGCGAATACCCATGCCGCCCTTGGTGAGATCTTGGGTAAGGCCAAGAGCATTGCAGAACGCGGCACTGCCGTCGCCAGCCATGATAACCTTATCAGTAGAACCGATAACTTTTCCAAAAGCATTCATGATAAATCCATCAACGCAAGAAACGCAAATAATGTAGTTGATACCCTTGCTCTTGAGCTTATCGGCGTTTTCGATGAACCCAGGAACATGTTGTTCACTGCAAGTGGCTAAAGTGGCAATGCTTAAATATCATGCCGAGACTGCTGGGTTCTACGACGAGAATGTACTTACGAGTGAATGGTCCAGGGATGGCGAAGATGACAGCCTTCTTACCCTTGAGCTGCTCGTGGATCTTGAAAGAAATAGGGCTGGAATCACGTCATATTACGCTTAAATTAGTCAATCAGAATATCTGCTACACCAAGCATTTTCTGAGCTGCTTACCGAGTGCATGCCTTCAATTCTTCCTTAGGATCGTAAGGAACGTAGGAGAGGGGAACGTCGGGGATCTTTGGTTGAGAGCGATATATGAATATGAGTTATACTTGACAGCCACATACGCATATTAAAGAAGTTGATACTCACAATATCACCAACTTTGATTTGTTCAGAAGCCTATTTATATGTTGTTATTATACCATACATACTATTACTCGAATTGCGAAGATTCTATCTTACCATTTCAGTATAAATGTAGAGAATGTGAAGAAGGATAGTTGGAACAAGCTGGTTACTAGGACAAACTAAAGATTGGTAAAAAAAATTCAACTCCGGTCGGTGTTGACAAAGATGGCTCCCACAGACATTTGTACGTGTTGCTTTCAAAACCAAGTGGCTGACAGTCATATCATTCAAGAATGGTACAATGTTTATTTTACAATCGGTTTTTTGGCAGTTACTACTACAGGTTCAACCCATTTCCCCCAGCATAACAAGTCGAGTACTTTGGCAACTGTAATCAATCTATTGTAGTTTCCAAAGTTGAGCTCTAGTCCAGCTTCTGTTAATTTGGCGGCATGTTGCTTCAAGAAACGAGCGAGCCCACCATAAACACGTTCGACGTCTATACGTTCAATGTGTATATCTATGTAACCAATTTCTTGTAACTTAGCCTCATACTCGTCGGCATTGACCATGTTCTGTACGGGTATATTTCCACCTGAACAAATCTTTTCATACAGCCAGCGTTTGAATGGGTGGTTGAATGCGTTTGGCTGGATGGCGACATCAAATAGGCCTATCTGACCTGCATTGGAGAGATGATCCAAGCTTGAATGCAAGAAAGACCATCGAGTATCAAAGTGATAAGCGCAGTCTATTGCGACGATTATGTCGAATTTATCCTGTGACTTCAACATCTTGGATAAGTCTGTTGCTGATCCTTTTAACAGATTGATTTTCGAATTTAAAGTGTCCGTTGATTTCAGTAGGCGAGTTTGTGCGATTTCATACTGCGAATCTTCAATAGTAATGCCCTAGACGCACATCGGTGTAAGCTTCGATTTACGCTATATCACATCTCATTTAAGCCTGTAACTCACAACAACATTACATCCATACTCCTCCGCCATCATGAAGCAAGAATCGCCACAACCAAATCCAACATCTAATACAGAGCTGTTTAGTTGAAACTTAAACTAACGGTTATGTAGCTAAAAATCGGCTTACCTAGCACTCGGGCATTGCGTACCTTATCTTGACCACCAAGTGAATCTATAACTTTGTGCACCAATGCACGACAAGCGTCCGCAAAAACCATATTTTGTTCATCCCATAGTCCCATATTGAACCAATAGGCTTGTGGAGAGATATCAATGTTGTATAAAGTATGCTGCAAGCCATACATTTCACTTGGAGAATGCGATAACGCACTTTTTGACGAAAAGCCTAGAATAGTTTGTAATGATAGCCGGATTTCCGGTATAGAAGTAAGCCATATTATAATACTGGCAGAGTGAGCGTACAGTATGACGACGGATAGAGCATGAGCGCTGCAGAAGTGGTAAAGTATCGGAGCTGAGAGTATAAAGGTGGCCAGAGGAATCGGGGGGAATACGGCCATTGTCAGTTCTGATGGCAAGGGATGAGCCAACGTAAAGCCAAAAATGAATTACTCCACTGGTCTACAACTATTTCGTCGGTATTTTGTCTGAAATAGCTGTCGAGAAAAAAAACTGTCAGGTCGTTGCACAATATACATAAAATTTACAGGAGCGGCTGACGTCGCCCTGGCCTCTGCTTGTGAACACCGCCAGGTCAGTTGTCCCTCCACACCTATTCCTTTCTATATTTCAATCCATGTCCCTCCCCAAACGCATTATCAAAGTAAGCAATCTTCACTATGAAATCGACTATTAGAAATAGCTGATCGTGATAATAGAGAAAAGATTTATCTACAACACTCCGATGATCGCAAACTAAATGGTTGACTATTGTTACTGTGCATTTTTTTTTTAGGAAACCGAACGCTTGATCGCAGAACCTGCTCCTGGAATCAGCGCAACTCCACACGAAGACAATCTTCGATATTTTGATGTTATCATAGCTGGACCGGGACAATCACCCTTTGAAGGTAGGATGACTTTTCACACGTTTGCAAAGGACCTTGGCCCATTCTCTCAGTGGAATTGCTCTAGTAACATGTAACTTTGCGACGGGTGCCACTACGACAAGCCTATCCGCAACTGCGCTTTCTATTTATATTTGCATTGTACTGACGCCATCCTTCTTTTAATGCAGGTGGTGTCTTCAAACTGGAACTTTTCCTTCCAGAAGATTACCCTATGGCACCACCCAAGGTCCGTTTCTTGACTAAAATCTACCACCCTAATATCGATAAGCTTGGACGTATTTGTTTAGATATTTTGAAGGGTGGGTAATCTTCTGATTGTGTAACTGCCTCGACGAGAGCGGCAGCGGCTGATTATTGCATTCTTTCAGATAAATGGTCACCAGCTTTGCAAATCCGCACTGTTCTCCTTTCTGTACAAGCACTGCTCTCTGCACCAAACCCTGACGACCCGCTCGCCAACGATGTTGCTCAGCACTGGAAAGAGGATGAGAAAGACGCAATCAACACTGGTAAATTACGTTTGTTCTTTTATAACCAGTGATTATTTTTGGTAGTTATTGACCATTTTCTTTTCTTATCGGTATAGCTCGTGACTGGACGCGCCTGTATGCTCAAAACTGAGGAAATAAAATAAAATACATAATTTTGTGTGAAGTGGTAGATCAAATAGCCAATGAATTTTTTTGGGCCAGTGATGTTGAGAAGGTGAAAGGAAAATGAGAAGTAAATTTTTCCCCAGTTTCTGTAGGTAGCATGCATCTTATGAAAGAGGAACAATTTTTTGGGTGTGCTGTCATTGTGTTGGACCAAGCGGACGCAGAGATAAAAAATTTGTGAGAGATGAAACAAATATCTTCATGTACCAAATGAGGAGACCCAGATCAGGTTGAAGATATGCCCCAAATGTATTTGACAGGTATTACTTGCAAATTTAGTACGAACATATCGACAGAAAAGGTGAATAAAGAGAAAAACGACGGAGTTATTGATATGAAGAATTTACAAAAAGGATTGGGCTGGCTAAAGTTAAACCTGCACTGCAAATGCATCAAAGATGAAAAGATTGAAAACTCTCTATCTTCTGCAATCGTTTGAAATTAATGTTGAAGTATACGTTTAACCTCCGAAACCGTACAAAGTACGTCCTTGGCGCTTGAGGGCATAGACAACATCCAAAGATGTGACAGTCTTGCGCTTGGCGTGCTCAGTGTAAGTAACGGCATCACGGATGACGTTCTCCAAAAAGACTTTCAGAACACCACGGGTTTCCTCATAGCTACAAATTGTTTTAAAGAGTTAGTGATCCGGTAAAACGTGACGAACTGATATAAAATGATATCAGCGTGAGAGAAAACCACAATAACTACGTACATGAGACCAGAGATACGCTTAACACCGCCACGGCGGGCAAGACGGCGAATAGCAGGCTTGGTAATACCCTCTACATGAGAAAACGACAAATGTTAGCATGCAGATTCGTAGAACACGTCAAAAGAAGCGCGTGCCTTTGCGTGTTATAAGCGCGTCAAGCGATGCGCAACTTTGAGTAGAATAGAATAAAGATAACTTACGAATGTTGTCACGAAGAATCTTGCGATGACGCTTAGCTCCTCCCTTTCCAAGACCTTTTCCTCCTTTACCGCGACCAGTCACTACAAAAATCAGGACAGGTATGTTAAAGAAGGTTCGTGTTTGATATAGGATATCACTTGTGACGCTTCAAAGTAAGCAAACAGTCACTTGAATAGATGACTTACTTGTAGATTGTTATATAAGTGTTGTTAAGCGAAAACGGGAAGGAATAGAGGTGACCCATCGCCGCAGCGCATTTATGGATTCC